AAAGTAATGTTCTAAACTCCTTGTAACTTTGGAAGAAGTTTTAAGGCAAAAAAATGAAACTGATCTCTCTTCTACTGGCACAGCTCATTGCAGCATGAGACTGGGAGATTAATTTTATAACTGCAGACAGAAATCTAATAAAGGGAAGAGTCAATGCCCTTTTTAAGCATCAGCAGAGAAAGATCACAAGAACCCAGCCAATATTAAAATGCAGCCGAGGTTTATGGACAACATTTAAGTAGGTTTATCCTGGAATAAAAGAAAATAGCTGACTTTGTAAGTGAAGACAGGCATACTTCAGTCATCTGCCCCTGCACCTTTAAGTTTTCCTCATTCATTTACTTGTGACAAAGACATTCCTTCTGAGCAAAACAAATACGCTAAAGAAAAACTAACTCAAACTCGCCAAGACAATTTCTGTGCATACTCTCAGCCTTAATAAAGAAGTTTGCCAAGAAACTTCTAGCTTGTTCCATTCTGAAGTCTACTTCAAATGGACAATTACCTGCAACCACTTCTAAAAATATCCTCTTTAACTCTCAAGAGTCAAGGGCATACCAGTGCATAAACAACAACAAAACTATATCACAAGGACAAAGCAAGATTATAAATTGTTATTATGGAATAATCTTAACTTCCATTGCAATAAACTTACTACACACTAAATTAACATGAGTCAGCCAAAAGGGTTGCTGTTTAAAGCACAATTCCTTAAGGTATCTTCAATTCAAAGATTAGAATTAGTATTTAAATGTTGTCCTATAGCGAGACACTATGAAATTTAATAATAACCTATACTTCTCATACACTGTACAAAAGAAAGAACTAGAAAGGTAATATTGTTATGAAAGTGTTACACTCTTTAGTCTTTTGCATGACAACCCTTACTTCAAATCATTAACATGTGCCATGTCTTGAACAGCAAGAAATAGAATATGTCTGTAAAAACAGGAAACCATGACAATATTCACATTCAAAGGAACGTACAAAGAATGATAGCAAAGAAATTAGTATACACCTCAATTAATCTGACAGGAAGAAATAAGGTTCATCTGGATAAAAAACTGACCATACAAACACATTTTTGCTTTTCATATGTATTTCCATCAGAGGATCCCATTTGGAAAGTTCTTAGTTTAAGTCAAGACCAGATTTTCCTGTCTGGTGGGCATGAAAGCACAAATTCACATTTGCACATTAACTATGTTCTCTGTGCTTCAATTGTTATGCGCAAAATTATTTCTGGAATTGTATCTTAGCCTATAATTTAATGGTTATTGTACATTTGGGAGAAGAGAGTGCACCTTAGTTTGCCACAGCTACATTTTTATTGACTGCACAGTACTGAAAGGGGAAAATCTCTTTTTGTTATCAGATTGAGCACACATAACTTGGAAGATTCACAGAATGCATATACATCATCAGTGATCAATTAGTGTTTGCAGTTACTGTGGGATTGAAAAAGTATCTGCATATGCATCTAGGATGCTACTCCAACTATTCAGCAGCAGAAGAAATTTTTGTGTCAGAAACATTAAGGAAAGGTAGTGTCGCACTTTTACCAGTTTTTCTCTGGGAAAACTACTTTTTGTACTCTCACCACCATCCCAGCCCCACATTTCCAGCTTGTTGTTCATCATTAAGAAAGAGTATGAAGTATTCTCTCCAGTGGTTTCCACTGACTGTAACTTCCAGGTATTTTGATATGATCAGTCCTCCCTGGGAAGATCTATATCATTCTAGTTTATTTCTTCCAATTCAGAAGGTATGAAATAGACAATAACGCAAGATCTTTCACCTTGCTCTCTCACTTTCTCTGAGGCATTTAGCTTCCCCTCCTTCCTTCTCCCTCAGACTTCTCAAAATTTTCTTCTACTCTGAAAGTTAGGTCTGTGCATTCTGAGAAACAAATCCTCCCTTAGTCTGATTGAAAGCCTGATTAAAAGTAAATCTCCCTTGTTCTGTAAAGAGGAAACAACTGAAATTAGTTCTTACTGATGGAAAAGTCTCAAGTCCAAAACGCCAGAGGACAGATGAACCAATCAAAAAGACAATGAAATCTTTCCACTAACTTTGATAGACTTTTGCATTAGGTCATTAATCACCACGGTTAACAACTTGAGGGGAGGTTTTGCACTAGAAAAACAGAGGCAGACAATACAACCTTGACATTTCTACTGCACAAGTAAAGCTCAGAAGATGTACCCACTGGCATTCTACAGTTTTTAGATTGTAATAAGTTTTATATTTAAATATAGTAGAACAATGACAAAGTATGGAACTAATGGTATTTGGTTTGTCACTAAGTTTTTCTGATTGGTTGCAGTACTTTTCTGATTGGTTGCAGTGATCATTTTTATTTTCATTTCAGAAATAAATAGTGTATCTACAATTAAAAAGATATGTGTCCTTTGCAGAATTATTAGTCCATGCACACTTATTCAGAAGTCAGAAGAAGCAACAAGTTATTAATACAAGATTTATAATGACAAAAACAATGGAGATATTTGCACCTCAGATTTAGAGATTTTTATAGCATGCTAAAATAATTTATATTCAATACCTAAACTTATATACTGAAGTTGTTTTCTTTGTTTACTGCTATTACACCCTATGTAGAAAAATGAGCAATATGCATAGCATTTCTTCATCTTAATCTTCCATCTGCTTAATGCTAATTTGCATGTGACTATGGGGAATCAGTCATCTTTATAAGATATTTTTACTTCTCTAACACTCTTCTACCTGGTATTTACTAGCCAGTTCACTGAACCATGTTCCTGAGTTATTCCAGGCAAGTGTGAATTATTTTGCTTACCTCTGTTATAATGCCACATTCTTCACAGCTACAAATCATTACCACTTCTCCTCATTTTACTCACCTATACTTCTTCATTGTATTGCTCCAGTAAGTGAAAATTACCATTGTGCTGATACTCACAAAATGGCTGAAGTCATTTGCCTTCATTTACATTTGCTATTACCAGCTAACTCCAGTGTTCTTTCATCACCTGAAGTTAATCATCTTCCCTTATCCAAGAAAGCTAAATATTTCAGTGGTCGCCGCAGTTGACACTGGCTTTTACTTATTCTAAATTGGCACCATTTGTACTATGGGTGTGATGAGTGCAGAGTCTTTGCAGCCCCACTGAACATAGTTAAAGGAATCACAGACATAAAAGGTGGGGTACGTGCATTCAAATAGATATTTACTAGTATCTCTTTCAGATTGTGCTGTAGCCAGTGCTTGTTAGAATAAATTACATTTATGTACCTTTTCTCCCTTCACTAGTTAACTTTTAATCTAGCTGAGGTAACAAGACAAGTACTTGAAATTAATAATTAAAATTCTTCCTTTTATTTTTGTGTTTTAATCATGATCAAATAATAGCTTTCTGAAACTGGATGTTTGGATCTCACTATCCTGAAGAGCAGAAGTAATACTTAAAAATCAGTAATTTCTTGCTTCCCAGTTTCTAGTAACTTCTTTTAAGTCATCTAACATCTTCCCTCTTTTATAATGTAACTTTTACTACACTTGCTCAGATGTTTTGGGTCTTTAGAACAGACTTATGATGGTCCCTGAGCTTTTCTAAACTTTAGAGATTCTAATATTCTGATCATGTGCTCAGGTATGGCCTTGATTTCCCTCAGTATTTCTTCTACCTCTCCTAGGAAATTTTCATCAATTCTCAGCATCTGTCTCCCACTCTTGTGAATGTTCAGGCAAGCCATTAATTTAATGTCTGGAAGTTCTGACCATTAATTATACTAGCTTCTTACTCCTGCTACCTTTATGAACTTCTCATGTAAAGTACTTTAAAATGACTTCACAAAAAAGTTCAGCATGTCTTCTCCCACTTTCTATAGCTTTAGGCTTCAAAAGAAGCACATATTTGCCACCTTCTTCTGTAATATTTAAAAAATGAAATCTGTTTTGTGAACTAGTTTTTCCTAAATGTACTATTATCTCCTGGTCTCAACCGTGGGATGTAGTAATAGCCTTGATCATCTGCATTAATTCCCCAATTTTCCAGAAACTGACCTTTTTTTTTTTTTTTGCAAGCATTTAGATATAATGCATCTTGCAAGAGAATTTTTAGTGGTAAAGATCATTAAAAATTGAAACTAATCAGCTAAAGCTGATTAAGAAAATACTGGGATAGCATAAGTATTTATCAAAAATGTGCAGAATTGACCTTCTGTCACTATTACCATTGCTCACACTGTATTTTTGTACATAAGTAAATACGTTTTTATTCACGCATGTGATTTTTAAAAATTCTTTGTCTTCTTCAAACAAAAAATTTAGATTTACACACTAGAAAGGACGGGCACTGTACTTCTGATAAAACTTCCTTTCAATGCCAATTAGTGTTTCCCTTTTATGTATTATAAAACTGTATCAAATGCCTCTAGAAATTGGGATCACATAATATTCTTTGTAAACAAGTCAGTTCTGTAAATGATGCTAAATAATTTCTCATTTGGTTCAGCATTTTTGTAGATGTTTCTGCATAATATCTTTAAAGAATACCTGCTCCTATTCGCCTACAAAGCCGAAAGTATTATCCAGTCTGTCATAAACCACCTGAAATCTCTATTATTTTAACATCTATTCCTCTGGTGAACCCTGGCACCCTCACACAGAATCAAATAGAACAAAATTGTCAGCTTGTTTGACCAACTTCTGCCTATAATTTTCTAAATAATCAGATATAAGTTGTTTAGCTTCATCTTCAAATTCCCTCTTATTTTTATCCTACCTATCATCTCCAGTGAGATTTTTCTCCAGTTAGACCAGAACATTGGCTTCCATTACCCATTTGTCAGATATTTTTAAACAATCTCCTCTGTGATTTTTTTTCCAAGCATCTGTCTCACAACCTCATTATCTTCCTTCAAATCCCTCATTAAAACTCTCTTGCTGTGATGCCTACAAAAAACATGGGAGAATGTTTAAGCTAATAATGCAGTGAGACACTTTCTCTCATGCTAACCGACGTCGCTTCATCATTTCGTTGTACTTGGCTGTTTGGATCCATGTGTTGTCTCTTATCTTTGATTTGAATCATAGCCTCCCCATGAGGTCCTAGTTTATGACTTATAGCTCTTTGGTGCTGAAAATATAAATAATCAGAAGATAAGGCTTTTCCTTCTCATTATACATTGTTTCCTCCTGAAAACCTGTTCACACTTCCCTTTTCTGTTAGTTTCTAGCAAGTAATTATAGAAAGTCATGCAATATAATCTCAAATACCTCTCTCCTTTTTGCAAGGAAACACACAAATGAAGGGTCAGTTCATCCCCTATTCTGAAAAAAATCTTTGAAAAGAACTATGGGTAAGAGGAGAAAGCCCAGGTTTCAGCATAATTTCTTTTTCTAAAAAAGACAAGGAATTTCAACCCTATTTTCTTGTCACCTTGTTCCTATCCCTGACACATTATTGCTGTGGATTGTACACATTTAAAAATTACTTTAAACAGAAGTACGACTCATCAACACAATTCACCTGATAATTGTTTATCACCTGGAGAAAAGCTAGCACTTTTCTAATCAGCGATGCATAGTTTTCAAAGAGAAAGCTTTTTTCTGCCCATGAGAAAAATGTAAACATAAATATACCTAACAAATATTCATGGATGGTACAGAATACACTATTTTGCATGTAGGCAGCTTTTATACCTACATTTACATACCAACAATGATACAAAAAGTTAGACTTTGTATTGCTCAGTTAAGATTAAGACTACTCAAATCCATAGAATAAATTTTCCTTCCACTGCATTCTGTAAAAAGAGAATACTAACAATGAAATCTGGCTGTTTGTATCAGTTATGTTCATGAATTCTGAAACTGAATTCTGTCATTTTAGTCAGAGGTATCAGAAAAAATAGTTTAGTTATGAGAATTTAAGAATTTCTAGAGATTTAGTAGTTCACTGATCCCACAGCACTTCTATAGGAGGCAACTCAAGTGGTAGGTAGAGCCAGACACTACTCTAGCACAGAAGCAGTTTGAAGACAACACGGAACAAATGTAATCACCACTACAAAAAGCATTTCAGACTTGAAACTGTGGATGAATGTCTCATTGTGCTTGTAGTGGAATGAGGCAGCTCCATGCTGTTAGCATAATCTGACTCTACAAACACAGTAATGTCCCCTCCTTTGATTATATGCTGACAACCCAGTCTCCATTTAATCATAAATTATTATCTCAAGAAAATGTCATGTCTTTGTGACTTTTAGAATATAAACATGAAAAATATATTAGTGAGTAATGCAGACTACCAGCAATCTGTTTCTTATACACAGTATCTGCTAGTGACTTACAAGCAGCTACACATATTATAAAGGAGAAGACTTTCAGTCTGTGCAGCATATATTAAAAAAATAACAATCATTGTGTGTTACAAACATAGTAGAAGCTCAGTTTTGACAGCTCATAGTGTAAGAATTTCATTTTCACCTAAGTATTTCCAACGGACTTTTTGTCTATCTCCACATAGCATAGGAAAGCAACCCAAACTGAACAGATCCATCTTCAAATGTTGAGCAGAAAAAAAGAAGAAAAAAAAAAAAAAAAAAAAAAAAAAAGAGCCATACTCTTCCAGAATTTCTCTTTACCTTTTTCTGACTTTCCTCTGTGGGTTTTGATCATATTCCTAAAATCACTTTCAGTGTGTCTTATATCACTATCAATTTTCAGTCTGTTTCCAAATTCAAGCAGATATCTTCATCTGAAATTGTGTTCTGATTCAGCAAGAGAAATGACCTTGCAAGACAGCATGAAGGGTAATTTAAACAAGCAGAAGAAATAAGGGTAACAGATTAAGATATTAGACACTGCTTTATGTTATTCACATAACAATATCAATATTAAAAAAAAATACTCAAAATATGAAAAGCAATGCTATGATCATATAACGGCTGAAGTCAAGGAGGAGAATCAATTATATGACTTGCATTCTATGGATCAAATTTAAAGTTATGCACCATTTATGAAGATCTTTTGAATAATTCGCTCATGGAAAAAAAGTTCAAAAAGTGCCATCCAATAAAGCACAAATCTTTACACTTCATTTACGCTATGTTTCTTTATGCACAAGTGGCCATATCTCCATTATGCATTCAAGGGTGCATAATCACAAAACAAGGTGGACTGTGACAGAAAGGGACATGACCTGTTCCAGTACACAAAATATATGCATTACCAGTGCTCATTTAGAAAAGGAAAAGTAAAAGAGGTATAAAACGTCAAATTGCCTGATATAGCCTTAACTTAAAATTAATGCCCATTACCTTTGAGAATTTTATTCTGTGATTTGGAGCAATAGAAATAGAGGATGAAGAGGAAAGAAAATAAATGTGATGACTTCAAGAAAATGCACAAGTTGTTTATGTGAAACCTCAGTGATGCAATTTGCAGTTTTTGTGACCCATATTTTTTAAAAACATCCACACTGATCTAGAAGTAACATAAATCATCACTGATAAAGGTTTTAAATTACTTACATCTTGATGTAAGTGAAAGGTAGCAAACCTGTTAGATGAACAGCTAATACAAATCCAACAGGACACTTTAAGTGAATTGGGTAAAAACTGAAGAGATTTTCTAAAGGTTAAATGAAAATATAAATTTTATGAAGAAAACGTTTTGTCAGAATCTTACATCACAACATGTACCCAAAACCATTTGGTTGGAGAGGAAATTAATCAAATCCCATGACAATACCATTCCCAGAATTTTCAAGAAAAGGGACATTTTAAGTGAAAATTGTTACTTCTTTGTATGTTTAGCAACATCCTAAGCACTGCCAAACACACCATCTCTAGCTGCAATGTTTCAAGAAGAACATTGGTGTATCACAATCAGTTGATAGAAAAACCTTTTACAGGCCTGGCAGTTCAATTCTGTTCATAGCTAAATACTCCATGAGCTCAATATTTTAGAGAAGATCAGGAATGATTTTATCTACAGCTTAAAAGGATGTTTATGGGAAACAGAGATTTAGTAATGGCTTCTTTGATCTATGGTAAAGCATAATTTTAGGGACACATCTGAAAAACTTCAGAAAAAATGCAGATAATATGAATAATTGCCATCAAATGTGAAAAGATTAGGAGAAAGACAGAAAAGACTAGAAATTAGAAATATGGAACATTTAACATTATTTAGGCCCAAAATTCCGGAATTTTTTTATGGAGCAACTGAAGCAGAGTTGTGCATAATTAGTAGTCTTCCCAGAGATAGGATACATTGAAATTTATATATTCACAGTGGAAGAAGGACTACACATGAAATGGCAACAGTTAAATGTACTATCAAAAGCCATTAAAAGTCATTAGTGGACAAATATGTAAATAACATTAAAAGGAGATAGCTCAGAAGTTATTTCACAAATATATTTACTCTCACTAAAGATTAATATCTGATCAGTTCTCTGAATATTTTCAACAATCGTACGATGTCTTGTAATACCCACAGTCTTAACATGCTAAGTGTAGAGTAAAAAAAGAGATGTTTCATGATATTAAAACTACATTAACATGAACAGATTATACTATATATACAACATATATTCTGGGAAATTCAAATACAAGATTAGGGGCTTTTCATGGTTATTTTGGAGGAGATGTTTAGTATGATATGATGGACGTCATCGGTAAATTGTACATTTGTTCCTCAGGCAAGTCTGAAACATTACCATTATATTTTATAGAGATTTTGCTTCTGACGATTGAGCCAAGGGATACAGAGACTGTACAAGAGTTTTACAAGAGTATCAATGCATGAAGGAAAGAATATAAATAATGAAAAGTCTGATAAATAATAAAAATGGAAATAATTTTATTTCTAGGAATACAACTATAGAAATATTATAGGAGTACTCAGACAAGCTCCATAAAGAGAATAAAAAGGCTAATAATAAGTGGCCATTTTCCAGACAACTGAGCCAAATTTTTGAAGAGATTCAAGAGGTAATCAGAACTCTTAGGAATAACAAGCACCAGGTGTCAACAGTGCTGCTGCTATAATGCTAAACAAACAAACAAAAAAAACCTATAATATTGGAGACCTCATTTATGATTTCACCTTTTATATGGAGGCCCGTGAAAATGCTAAAGGAATTAAAGAAAGCAGAAATATTTCTAATTTTTAAAAAAGAGAGACAAAATGTAAAGTGACTGCTTTCTCTGTGTGTTATGGTTCATAGAATTCTAGCTTTAGACACCTATATAGATTTCCTTCTTACAGACAACAAACAAAAGGAGAATGCAAGTGTTTCCAGACATATATAGCATTTCATATATCTCATCCTTATGTATCAGATATTTTTAATGCTTCAGTGACAAAGAAAAACCATAGTTTGATTAGCATGCATAAATAGATTTTAAGAACTGTGTGATAGCATTTTTCCAACATAATCTTTGTACTGCAGTGAAAGAACTGCCTAATAAAATTATTAGGGTTATACAATTGTGTCTTATACTATTGAAAAGTAGACTGTGGCATGGGAAATCCTTAAGCAATTTTGCAGTGATATAGGATTAAAAAAGGGAAAACTATGTGTACAAAAAATCTGGTGATCTATAGGATGTTTATGACTAACCATGGATTAAAAAATAAAAATAAAAATAGAAATTGAGTCTCAAGCAAATTCAGTGTCTAAGCATACAGTCAGAATTAGGGAATACGTTCCAGACACCAATCTTTTGGAAAATTGTTCTTAAATAGCATGTAAAGTGCTGACCAGTAAGGAGGCAGAAAAATACAACAAGCACTGCTAAGGATCTTTAATGTCTAGGTGATGAAAGAGAAGAAATGAGAATCTGAGCTTTATTCATCAGAGTGATATTCAAGTGTTATAACTTTTGGCCTTCGCTGAAATTGATAGTTACATGAGTGTAATTTCAATAGTGAAGCTGAGCATAAACTCAGTATTAAGTTGTGTTATTCATTGAGCTAGTGCTTCCTTTGTTATGTTTGTTATTTATGGCCTGCCCTTGGAGTCATACCTTGCTTGAAGTATGTTTCTGAATTATTGTCAGACTTTACTTGATGTTAAAC